AACGCAGACCTGCCAGGGTGGCCTCGGGCAAATAAGTTCCCTCTCACCTCGCTTCCCTGTCTGCAAAATAAGAAAATCAACTCTCCTGGTGGGTTTATGAGACTCTGGACAATGTGTCCGCCAGGCTTTATGCACAGAGTTCAACTCATACATTCCTGTTCAACATACTTTATTTTATTTTATTTTTGAGACAAGAGGGTCGCTTTGTCACCCAGGCTGGAAAGCAGTGGTGCAGTCTCGGCTCACTGCAACCTCCCCCTTTCGGGTTCAGGTGATTCTTCTGCCCTCAGCCTACAGCGTAGCTGGCACGAGTACAGGTACGAGCCACCACTCCGGGCTAATTTTTGTATTTTTAATAGAGACGAGGTTTCGCCAGGTTAGCCAGGATGGTCTCTATCTCTTGACTTTGTGATCTACCCGCCTCGGCCTCCCAAAGTGCTGGGGCTACAAGCGTGAAGTACCGTGCCCAGCCGTATTTTATTATTAATAGAAACTCTGGGGCCCAGTCTCACTTCTTCCTCCCCGCTTGCAGGAGCCGCAGGAATTGGACTGGCCAACACCTGCTGGTGGGTCATTCTTCTGTCTCTCTCATTCCTCCAAAGTGTCCGCTTCCAGCCGTCCTCACCTCCATCCCCTGGCAGGGATTCATGCATCGAGGTCCCAGCTTCATTCTTTTCTCCATCCCTTGCCTTGGCTTCCTTTCAGACAGGCCTTAGCCTCCACTGGATAGGAGCTATCTCCCAACCCTGCCAAAAATGGAAGATCTCTGTTTCCCTTTGGTCAAAAGACAGGGTAGCCATCTTGCCCCTTCTCCTGCCCTGGGCCCTCCACCAGCTGAAGTGGATGTTGGTCTTTTCTCTGTTGCAGAAACCCACCTTGTCCCATCCACATCAGGACATCCCAGCTGGAGTTCAACCTTCATCCCTTCTGTGGCAGTTAAGAGAGTGAATCAAGGTCCAGAGAAGGTGGAGGAACCCTGGTATTGAGCGTTACACATGGACTTCTTTCTCCTCCCGTCCCTGTGGCAGGCAGGAAGTCCTTCTCGGGATCTGACCACCTTCTCTTGGAGCACTTGCCCTGTACTTACTTTGGCTGTAGGGGCTGTGTTACCACCTATGCAGTATGTAGCATAGCAGCCCAGAGCACAGACTGAGCTTGTCCCACTTGTGGCTCCACATGTAGCCCAGAACATTCCTAAAACATTATACAAATTTTTTTGCGATTCTATTTATTTATCTATTGCTCATCAGCTATTGTTAGTGTATTTTATGTGTGGCCCAAGACAATTCTTAGCGTGGGCCCAGGAAGCCAAAAGAGTATCCATCCCTGGCATAGACTCTGGAGCCAGATTATATGAGTTCAAAACCTAACTGCACCCCACTTATTAGCTGTGCGACCCTACTCATTTCCTTTCCCTGTGCCTCAGTTTCCCCTTTGGTACAAAGTGGCATTAAGAGTACCTGCTGCTGGGCCAGGTGCAGTGGCTCATACCTGTAATCCCAGCATTCTGGGCAAATTGCTTGAGGTCAGAAATTGACCAGCCTCAGTAACTTGGTGAAACCCCATCTCTACCAGAAATACAAAAAAAATAGCTAGGTGTGGTGGTTTGCTCCTATGGTCCCAGCTACTTGGGAGGCTAAGGAAGGAGGATCACTTGAACCCTGGGGAGGGGCGGAGGTTGCAGTGAGCCAAGATTGGGCCACCATACTCCAACCTTGGTGTCAGAGTGAGACCCTGTCTCAAAAACAGCTCCTACCTCTTAAGACTGTTAAGAGGATTAAATGAGTTAATTCATGTTAAACAGGTAGACTGTGTCTGGTACACAGTAGGTGCTGTGTAAAAGGTGGTTACTGTTATTGCTGTAATTAAGGTGGATGTGTTCTCTTTCTATTCCTGTGCAGTAAGTGCTTTCAAACTATGACTGGTCATCCACTTTACAAAGGAGATTTCAGGACCAACTTCCTTCCACTTCTCAGTATAGGTTTTTGAGCAAAAGCAGATGGAATTAAGGGTAGACTGTTGGACAGACTGCCAGTGGTAAGGAGGCACAGTTGTGCCCTGCCCACCCTGCACCCCTGCCAGAATCTTCTTGTAAGAAGACCTTCTAGATTGTACATGGGGAGTGGGTTTTTTTGTTTGTTCTGTTTTGTTCTTGAGAGGGAGTCTCACTGTCACCCAGGCTGGAGTGCAATGGCTCACTCCAACCTCCACCTCCCAGGTTCAAGCAGTTTTCCTGCCTCAGCCTCCTGAGTAGCCGGGATTACAGGTGCACGCCACCATGCCCATCTAATTTTTGTATTTTGTAATAGAGATGGTTTCACCATGTTAGGCTGGTCTCAAACTCCTGACCTGGCGATCCGCCTGCCTCAGCCTCCCGAAGTGCTGGGATTACAGGCCTGTAACAGGTTTAGACTTTCCTTGTCCTTCATGACCTTGACAGTTTTGAAAAGTGCTGGTTGGGTATTTTATGGAATGTGCTTCCATTTGGTTTTTGTTTCATACTTAGACTGGGATTGAGGGATATTGAGAGGATGGCCAGGTAGGATACTTCTTTTCTTTTCTTTTTTTTTTTTTTTTTTTTTTTTTTTTTTGAGATGGAGTTTTGCTCTTGTCCAGGCTGGAGTGCAATGGCCTGATCTTGGCTCACCGAAACCTCCGCCTCCTGGGTTCTGGCAATTCTCCTGCCTCAGCCTCCTGAGTAGCTGGGATTACAGGGTGTGCATCATCACGCCCGACTAATTTTGTATTTTTAGTAGAGACAGTGTTTCACCATCTTGGTTGGTTTCAAACTCTGGACCTCAGGTGATGCGCCCGCCGTGGCCTCCCAAGGTGGTGGGATTACAGTCAGTGAGCCACCGCGCCCTGCCGGGCCTGGGTATTTTTTAATAACCTGATCAGTAAGAGAATTTTGGTGCTGACTGTGTGCCGTTTATGCTGGCTGCATGGGCAGGGACTCTGCTTCCCCTCCCCCACCTCCTCAGCCCTTTTGCCGTTTTCTCTCTCTGGCTGTTGGGTCCCACCCACTTCAGCCCAGCCCACCCAAGCAGCTGGACTCAGGCTGAGTGGGTACCAGTTCCCACCCTTAGCTCTCCAGCCCCTCCCAACCTGTTCTTAATTCACCGTGGGTTGTCAGTGGTTGCCTGTAGCCCCCGCTCCCCAGGTCTTTGAACTGTGAGTCCTCTCTTGTGCCCATTCCTAACCCAGGCCTTTGGCCCCTTCAGGACTCATTCCGTGGCCTTCCCTATCCTCGAGCTCCCCTTCAACATCCTCAGCTGGGGCTTGAAGCAAAGGTGGGGCTACTGGACTCTTTCTTGGTGCGGAGGGGCCTGGCTTGGGGAGTGAGGCGGTGATTACAGGCAGGTTGCATCAGCCCTGGCTCTTTGATGGGGAGGGGAAGTTGGAGGATTCTCTGGGGGCCCCAGCACACCTGGCAGCCACTCCTGGTTAGCAGCACAGCATCAGTGGGCGGGGCGGAGAGAGGGAGGGAGATCAGCCACCTGTGCAGGACCCTGAGAACCTGAGGCTTGGTGCCGAGAGGGAGCCTCAGATGACAGAGCCTTGTTAGCAGGAGACAAGACTGGGGTCCCGAGAGGTAACGGGGATTGTGAACAGCTCCCAGGGCCCCGAGGCCCATGGTACAGGCTCTGGGAGGTCTCCAAGTCCCGACCCTCGGCTCAGGCCTGCTGCTCACGGTTGCCAACGCTATCGATTTTCACTTGCACCGGCCCATCGCGCTGCTGTTGCTGCAACCCCTCGCTGATTTCCCAATCAAGGTGGTCTCCTGTGTGATGGAAAAGGCCATGAGGTTTGCATCAGACAGACCAGGGTTCTGGTCCTAAGCCTGGCACCAAGTTGTAGACTGGAATGCAGGCAGGGCCCTCATCTGCCCGAGCCTCAGCCACCTTCTGCAGAACAGGTCAGAGTGTGGGCCCTGGATCTGTACTGGGTTCACACCCAAAGTCCACCCCCTCTGTGACCATCAGCAGGTGGCATCCTCTCTCTGTGACTCAGTTCCCCCAACTCCGCCACTTCCGTGACCCTCAGCAAGCAGCATCCTTGCTCTGTGACTCAGTTTCCCCCGATATAAAATGGGGATGAGATGGTCCATTGCACGTGGTGGTTTTGAGGGTTAAATGTGTAAATGTGTGAAAAATACCTAGAGCAGGCCCTGGCATATAGGATCGTTCTGCTCTGGAACCTGGTGTGGCAGCACCATGGAGATGGTGTTGGTGAAGCCAGTGCCTGCTGCGTGCTTCTCTGTTCCCGCCACGCCTGCTTCTGCTTTCAGATCCACCTCGCACAGATGTCCGCCTACGTGACTGCTCCCCCGAGCACTTCCAGGACAAAGTCAGGGCCCTCCTGATTCCCAGAATTGTTCCCCACAACCCCCAGCCCTGTGCTGCTATTTCCGTAGGCATCAATACATTTTCTAATGAGTTAGCACGGGGGCCAGGGGATGTGTTACCGAGGTCCCTGAGAGGAGCCAGGGAGGGGAACTGGGTCACGTAGGCCAGGGCTGCCGGGGTTGAAGGTGGGAGTCCTGGCAAACAAGGGCAGGAAGGCCAAGGCCAGCTCAGTTACGGAGAGGACGACATGGGGGCTGGGAGGCAGCACAGGCTGCCACGTGGCCCAGAGTCCTCCGGAGCCCCTTCCCTCCCTCGCACCAGCCTTGTCCCTTTATCAGAAGCAGTCACAGCTCTTACACACAAAAAAGGACACAGCAAACTGATGACAACTGACAGTGTCCTAGAGCCCAGGAGGCTGTCACTTAGTGCCATGTGACCTGGGACAAGATACTGCACCCTCTGACCTGTGGTTGCCTCATCAGTAAAATGGGCACAGTAATAGAACTCCCTCAGGGCAGTGTGGAGGGACAGGGAGTTGACACGGGAAAAGGCCCGGGCCCCTGAAAGGCACCAGGGCCACAGCAATGCTGGCAGAGCTGCTGGCTTCACAGGAGAAGCTGGAAATCCAGATTTTCTGTGTGTGTGTGACAGCCAAGTTTTAAAGGTAGGCAAGTAATTCAGAAAAACCTGGAAAACCCTAGCAAACCACAAATGTGGACAGGACTCAGGCAGCTGGCCCTCTGTGACCTTTGTATTCAGTGACTTTCCCTCCCCACAGCTGTCGTCATCTCTGCCCATAGCAGAGAGCAAAAGGAACTGAGCCCTCATTCCAGAAGTCTCCAAGGATTGGGGCTGGCCCCTCTGTGCTGGACTTTACCAGCAGGGAGACAGAGCAGGGCCTCGTGACTCAGCTTGGTCCCTTGTGAAGTGGGGAAGCCGTTATTTCTAGGGAGCAGAGGAGGAGGTCTCTAGAGAGTCCTTCCTTAGGGTCGGGATGCCTGCTGGAAGCAGAAGCCGTGGGAGGGGGGTGGGCCGGAGGGGGTTGGTGTCTTATTACTGTCTTCTATCCTGCCATCCACACCCCCAGCCAGAGGCCACCAGGAGCACATCACTCATTGCGGCAGGAAGACTGTCCCCTGCAGGGACCTGAAGGACACCTCAGTAAGGAGGCGTTTGGACTAACTTTAGGAGTTGGGCTGTGTCACGTGACTTTGGGGTGGGTTTAAGGGAGTGGGGCATTGCTCTGAGTGGGAGACTGGTGGGAGCACGGGCAAGCTCATAATGAGGGTCTATTTGACCCGGAGCCAGGAGAAGCAGAGGAAGCTAGTGCCGGTGATCATTGAGAAACAGCCAGCAGCTCTGAGCCAGAAGGGGTGTGTGGTCGTCTCTGTGGTTCGGACTTTGTGCTGTCTGTCGAGACGTGATTCAGGAATGGTCAGCTCTGCGGTTTGGACTTCGTGCTGTCTGTGTTGGGACGTGATTCAGGAATGGTCAGCTCTGGTTTGGACTTCGTGCTATCTGTGTCGAGACGTGATTCAGGAATGGTGGTCTCTGGTTAGGACTTCGTGCTGTCTGTGTTGAGACGTGATTCAGGAATGGGCTTGTCATCGGGGCTGCTTTCTTGCAGCAAATGTGCTCATCCTGCCAAGATGGGGAAAGGGAGGTGAGAGCCACCGCCACGTCCAGGGGAAGCGGCTCCTGCATCCAGCTGGCCCAGGATGCATGGTTCCTACAGGGTCACTTGGGCATGGAGGAAAGTACCCAGCTTGAGCCCAGCCAGCACTCAATAGGATGGCTAGTCATGGTAGAAGGTGCAGGGAGAGAGGTAGAGGCAGGAACCACGATGGGAGGGCTTCACAGGACCCCTAGGCTCCCTACGTGCCCCCTCAACAGCATGGGGTACTCCCCATGGAGAGCTTTGAGGGTCAGCAGCCATCAGAGTGCCAGGCCTTAGCCCAGTTTGATGCAGAATTCTTTGCCCTCTTCTTCCTGACCTACCACAAAGCAGGAATGGATGGGAGGGTGGTAAGCAGCGGACGCAGGCGTCTCAGGCCATCATCTGCAGCTGGGGCAGGCGCATTACCCCAAATGGATTCGAGCGTGAAGCCCAGGCTGGTCTGGAAGGTCATGGAGATGGCCCAGGAAGACTCTAGAGAGTGGGAAGGGGACTGGATGTGGCAGGGGGCGGTGGTGGTGGTAGGGAGCAAGAAAAGGCCAGGTTGGAGAGGCTCGGTGCGGTTACGAGCTCGGCTTTGGGGCCAGGCAGACGCCTGGGCTAGCCCTTCCTGGCTGTGGGACTTTACACGGGTGATTTAAGGTTTCCTCATTTATAAATGGGAAGTATGATAGTTCCCTCATGATGTTGCTGGGGAAGGTTAAGTGAGTGAGAACAGGTAAAGCCCGGGAAATAGTCTGAGTTCGTGAGAAAAGCCAGGAAATGTGATTGTGGAGATGGCTGCCGGGCGCCAGAGAGGGGCTGGGGCTGCGTCCAGGTCTCAGAATGAAAGCCACCCTGCCGCCATCCTCAGGCTGCCTTCACTTGGTTCCCAGAGAAACCCTCCAAGGCAACCGTCTCTACCACAGCCCGGCCTGGGCCCTTCCCTCCTTCCCCACTGACATCACTGCCTCTCCCAGGGGAAGCCGGTGTTGGGGCGAGGAGAGAGGCTGCGGAGGGGTACAGGTGTGCGCCGTTCCGTTTGCTGCTCTCAGAGTCCCTCAGCCCTGAAGCCTCAGTCACCCTCCAGGCGTTTGTGTGCTGTGCCTGTACCACTGCCCGGAGCGTTTCGCTCCAGGCTCCTCCCCCGCCTGTTCTCAACCAGCATTATTGGACACCCCAAGGAAGGCAGGGGCCTGCCCTTAGAAACTCCTCCGCCCATGCCATTGCCCTCGGGGTAAAGTCAACTCTGAGCCCGGAGCCTGTGCCCCTCCCTGACCTCACTGTGGCCCCTCAGCCCCTTCCCAGCACCCCCTGGTTGGTTGGTTGGTTGAATGGCTTCATTGAGATACTGTGTAATCCATATCCATTTATCAAAGTGTCTAACTTAGTGGTTTTAGTACATTACAGAGTAGTGCAGCCATCACCACAATCAATTTTAGAACACTTTCATCACACTAAAAAGAAACTCCTGGCCAGGCGTGGTGGCTCACGTCTGTAATCCCAACACTTTGGGAAGCCAAGGCAGGTGGATCACTTGAGGTTAAGGGTTCAAGACCAGCCTGTCCAACATGGTGAAACCCTGTCTCTACTAAAAATACAAAAATTAGCTGGCCATGGTGGTACAGGCCTATAATCCCAGCTACTTGGTAGGCTGAGGCAGGAGAATCACTGGAACCCAGAAGGTAGAGGATGCAGTGAGCCGAGATTGCACCACTGCACTCCAGCCTGGGAAACAGAGTGAGACTCTGTCTCAAAAAAAAAAAAAAAAAAAAACTGGTGTGGCTCACACCTGCAATCCCAGCTACTAGAGGCAGAGGTGGGAGGATCACTGGAGCCCAGGAGGGCGAGGCTCAGCTGTGATTGCGCCACTGCACTCCAGCCTGGGAGACAGAGTGAGACCCTGTCTTTGAAAAACAAAAAAAATTTTAATGCAGTTGCCGGAGGGGAGGGGCGGGGGTCTTTTAATACAAGGGAAAGAAACAAAATGGTTCTTGGTCAAAAAAGAAGGAGAGCCTGGGCACCAGAGTGTTCCTGAAATAGCTTCCAGTCCTGTTGTTTTATAGGAAGAGTGATGGTTCTAGAATCCTCCTTAAAATCTGTTTCCTGCCTTTTCCATGGTTGTCTGAGCTGATGCGTTTTTTCCTGCTGGGAAAATTGCTATTGGTCCCACCACCTGAGCCCCTTTGGGAGCTTCTGGGCCTCGGAGTCGAAAGGAGAAAGTAATTGCTCATTAGCTGGGAAGTGATTCAAGGGAAAGAAGGAGATTGAGAACCAGGGAATCCATGAATCTTTTAGCTACCGCCTTGAGGCAGTCCTGTGTAGCAAGTGGTGGAAGCAGGGTTTTGGTGCCCTGGGCAGGTCGGCCCCCCTCTGAGGGCCCCAGTTTCCTCACCTACTCAGGTGAGGCGAATAAGCCTGCTTAAAATGATTTCTAAGAGACCTAAAGAAAGAACAGTTGCAGAACAGGGCGTCTGACAGGCTGCATTTTGTGTACGTGGGGATAGTGCAAACCATGCTTTTGCTTAAATGCCCAGCAAGTCTCTGCAAACACGTGCAACAGAAAGCTAACGGCCTGTTTCCAGGGAGCAGGGCTGGGCGGCTGTGGGGCTCGGGGAAGACAGGCCACAATGTTCCCTTTTGTACCTTTGGAGCTAGAACAGTGTGAACATGCTACCTATTCACAAAAGGAATTTAGTTTTCGTTTTTCTGAATGCTCACAGGGTCACTGGGTTGGAGCAGGGGTGGTCCGGCCTCCTGGGTAGTGAGCACACAGGAGCATTGAGGCATTGAACACACAGTAAAGGTCCCAGTGACAGACTGGGGGAAAGACAGGCTGATCTATCACAGCTTCTCCCTGAGGAGCCCACAGAGACGGGCGCACACACCCTGTTCCTTTGTCTCCCCAAGGGTCTCTCATCCTTAATGCAAGTCGGTTATACCTGTAGGTTGAAAGGTTCAGGGAGCAAAATGGGACCAGAATGCCAGGTGGCATAAGGAGGAGAGACAGGACAGTTGAAAACCCACAGGTATCTGTATCCCTTCCTCCCTCCTTGCTGCTGGGGACGCCCGGTTCTGTGAAGGAGGGTGTCCTTTCGATGGAGGTGAGCGCTGGGGGTGGGAGAGGAGCTGAATTCCATGCCACAGATTTGACTTCGAAAAGCAACCTCTGGCACTTTGGGAGGCTGAGGTGGGAGGATGGCCTGAGCCCAGGAGTTCAAGACCAGCCTGGGCAATGTAGTGAGACCCTATCTCTACAAAAATTCTAGCTGGGCCTGGTGGTGTGTACCTGTAATCCCAGCTACCAGAAGCCTGGGGCAGGAGGATCATTTGAGCCCAGAAAGTTGAGGCTGCAGTGAGCCATGATCGTAGTGAGACTCTGTCTCAAAAAAAAAAAAAAAAAGAAAGAAAGAAAGAAAAAGGAAAACAGCCCCTCTCCAAGGCTCTGTTGTTTTGTTTTGTTCTTGAGATGGAGTCTTGCTCTGTCACCCAGGCTGGAATGCAGTGACGTGATCTTGGCTCACCACAACCTCCACCTCAGCCTCCCGAGTAGCTGGGTTTACAGGCACCTGCCACCACAACTGGCTAATTTTTGTATTTTTAGTAGAAACAGGGTTTTACCGTGTTGGCCAGGCTGGTTTCGAATTCCTGAGTTCAGGTGACCCACCTGCCTCGACCTCCCAGGCCTGTGCTAGGGATTACAGGCCTGAGCCACCACGCCCAGCCTGCTCTGTTTTCTATTAATGGGGTTGGCCATACCCCGGGCAGGGTAATTACATAAGGTGAGGGGGCCCAGCCCAACAAGCTCCCAAGGCACTCTGGTTTGGCCACTTGAATAAGGTCCACTTAGGAAGTTGTCTGTTCGTTGACTTCAGTTCTTCAAGGACAGCCTCGGAGCTGATTTGTTCTTCAAGGTTCAGTTGGATTTTCTTTGATACAAAGGTAAGAGGAACTGATTGAGGAGATGGTTAAGAAGCAGACTTGTGGTTTGCTGTGCTAACAGATGGACAGTCCCAGCACTGACACGCCTGGTGATGGTTCTGGCCAGAGGTCCCCACAGGAGGGCAAGTGAGGAAGGCAGTGTCCGGGAACAGTGCCCGAGCCTCGGGAATCAAATGTCCCCGGGCTGGGCCCAGCCGGACGCTGATTTCCCCTCTTTTCTTTCCTTTCCACTCCCTCACTCTCTGCTCCTTTTTCCCCTCTTCTCGTCCCTCTGGTTCCACTGGTCATGCTTCTCCGGAATCTGAAACAGCGAATGCTGGGCTCTGCATCGCCAGCAGTGCCATCGGGTGGCTGTCGGCCAAATGCTAGGGGCCATTGTTCAGGGGCCTCCCAGAAGTTTTATTTATGTGTTTATTTATTTTTTGAGACAGAGTTTCACTCTTGTTACCCAGGCTGGAGTGCAAAGGCGCGATCTCGGCTCACCGCAACCTCTGCCTCCTGGGTTCCGGCAATTCTCCTGCCTCAGCCTCCTGAGTAGCTGGGATTACAGGCACGCGCCACCATG